TTGACGTAGTATGACCATAGAAACCCTCGTAAAACTTTCTTCTGATTGATAAAAGAACCTCTGAAGGATTTAGAGAGAAGGAGTGATTTAATGTATCTTTCGTTAAATGACAGCTCTGACTGCTGTGTAAAATAGACTGTAGGATACCAAGACTTGAAAGTGGGAAATCCTGCAGGGTTTTATTCATGATAATTTGGGAGAGAACAGAGGCTTATGCTAGCATGAAAAGTCAGAGAATAAGAAATGATTAGAGCTTTGGCATATTTGTAAGAGGTCAATAACATTCTTCATATTTATGTGGTTTGTTAGAAGCTTGAAAAAAAGTTAAACAATTTTAAAAGAATAGAAAAATGAGTCCTAGAGCTCACCTGAAGGCATGGTGTAACAGAGACTGAATTAAACCGCCCATTAAAAAAAGAAAAATACAGCAAAACATAAAGAAAGATATAAGAAATAACAGTTTCCCTGAGAGATGAGAAACGAATGAGGTGAATCCTATGATTGCCCATCCTGCTTGGTCTAAGAGAGATTCCAGGCTGCACTGCCATATGGGCAAACTTACGTGAAACCTAGAAGAATTCAGTTGAAGAGTCAGACTTGAGAGTCCAGTGAGATCAAGACAGAGTTGCAAGCTAGAGTTGCAAGACAGAGTACCGAAGATAGAGAAGGAAAGTGGATCTCTGCAAGGAATCCTTCTCAGTTGTTCCACAGAACTACTGATCAGCACAGGCAACCGGTAAACAAACACCTAAGACTAAAGGAAAAAAAATCACCTGAAAGGATTAAATACAGCAGTGCCCAGAACTCAAACAGAGGCAGGAATTGTGCCAATTTGTTGCACAGAGAGTAGAAAAACTCATAATTCATGAAGGTCTACTCCAGTAGAGGAGAATAATTAACCCTAAAGTGAGCATTGCTCTGTGTCCATCTAAGAAATGATAAAAGCATAATCTGAAGTGATACACACACACACACACATACACACACAGACTTAAGTCTTTGCTACTAAAGGTCCTCAAATATTGGACCAGGCCCACTCACATTCTGGAGTCTAATTGGCTGTAATCAAATGTATTGAATAAAATGTTAACCTCGTCTTTAAACAAATCTTCACAGCAACATCTAGACCAAGCTTTGACTGAAGAACTAGGTACCATACCCTAGCCATTGGACACAAAAATTAAGCATTGAAGAAAAAAAAAAAGAAGGAAGAAAGAAAGTTAATAAAGAGTAAAAAGTAAGAACGTAATATAAAAAGAAAATAATAAATCTAAATTTCTGATGAATACATATTGGTCTAGGCAATTAATACATAGCCCACTTTGCATGCAATCAAAAAATTTCTTGGCATCTCTTCAGGGAGTCTATTAGACAGCAAAAAAGAATCTATAAATTATCACTATTCCATAGCATAAGGCACATGGGGAAACCAAGAGAGAGGTTTCATAACAGGTAAACAGTATTTCATGTGGTACTGTATTATACCAATAACCAAATTGTTTTGGTGATATTTGTGAGATAACACCTATCCATGAAAAGCATAGGAAAATATTAAGATTTCTGATTCACTTCTGCATGTATAATGCTATTGATAATGCATGAGCAGAATAGAACTGTTCTTTTTTCTTCAGATTAAATATGTTTTATATCTATTTTTCAGTAATTTTCTCAAATACAAAAAGCATCTTCGAAATGTCAGTGCCAAATTGCTTTGTAAAATTTATGTTTCATATAAATACTTAATCCTCTGATACCAGAAGACAAAATCAAGAGACAAGAAAGCCTAATGAAAGAGTCAGGAATAAAAAACTAAAATAAAATTCTGGGAGAATTATGAAGCTACAGGTATGCATTTTCTAGTTTGATGTCTTTCCAAGTCCTTAGTCATTTAGTCACTCTAGGCTCTTTTTATTCCTTTCTCAGAAATGTTGTAATCACTAATGAATATTTAAATTAATGTATGAATGTGAATTTTTTCTTGATAATCTTGATGAGCTAAAAAAAGGTTTCCACCTTATACTGAGATGGAAAACCAATTTTTGGAGGTTAGAAGACTTTTAAATTTTATGGTGATGGCACAATATACACACAGTTCAATTTCCTTCAGAATCTGCCAGAAAGCACATATTTTCTCACAGAGTATAGCTTTAAAAAATAATAATCTAATAATCAACACAGAGAGTAAGCTATGAAAAAGCAGTTGGATGCTTTCCATAGAAGTGTAAACCTGGTAGGGGGAGGCACTTCTATCTTCCCTAATCCTACAGAAAATTAGCGCTTACTGATAGACGTTTTTCATTAGCCTTTCATTGCACTTCAATAAAATTCAGATTGCTTCTTATTCCATCCATTTAAAAATTTTTTTACTTAACAGCAGTTCAGTATTTTTAACATAAAATGATATGTACATAAGAACAGGATAGGATATCAGAAACTCACAACCTTATAAATGTTTTATGGGAAAAAATTGTGGATTTTATGTAAACACATTTATAATTTAATGCTTTAAATACTGTATTTTTTAATTTGCTTTCTTATAAGTCATTCAGAGGCTCCTGGTACTATTTTCCTTGTAGACAGAATCAATTATATTTTTCTTTTTTTTTTGAGAAAGCATATATACAATTATTTGAACAACTAATATTTTACTTTAGCCTGCCACCCTCAGGTATTTTTTTTAAATGGCTTATTAGGATATTTATATACATCTTTATTTATTATATTTATTTATGTCTGCATCAAATGCTCTATCATACTATGAAAGAGTCCTCTGCAGTCTTTATGTGGAGACAGAATTAAAATAACATTATGAAAGATATATCTATATATATATTTATGTAGATATGTAGATATATATGTCTTTGACTTTTATCTTGCTAGTATGCTGTTATGTAATATAGTAGTTTTATACCTACCGTATGTATAAAGAATCTCTTTATCTAAAGGGAATGTATATAAAAGTTCATTATGTAAAAATCAATTCCAGTGACCTCACTTTCTCTTAATTTGCTCAATTTCTTCATATTAGCCTAGGTCTGCCATGACAAAATACACTCCGTATGTTACAAACAACCTAGTATATGTCAGTTATAAGACATCTGGAGAGGAGGGAATATGTTAGGTTTTATGTTAAATTTTACTAAATTCTTTAAGTAAGGTAGACAATCAATTATCCAAAATAACAATACATTTATGTTCCAGTTGTAATCATGGAGTTGGATCATGGATGGGGAGCGGGGTGCACTGGGACAGCTACCTGGATAACAAAACTACTCAATCTATTCATCATCATACTCCTGACAAAGAACTTAAGTCACACAAAAAGATTTTATATATACATATATAAAAATAATCCATTTTAGCAACATACTGTTTACACTTAAAAAATAAAAACTGACACACAAAATAAGCTCTATGTACTTAATATTAGGCAGATATTCTGAGATACCATAAACACATAGAAACATTTAATTCTCACTTATTTTCCCAAAAAATCTGACAAGAAACAGTTGATTTTGCCAATGTGCATAAGAATTAAGAAAAATTACATCATTTGCCCAAAATATTTCTTTGGGTACACCACAAATATAGGTTTAACAGAGACTATATTTATCTATGTATATTTCCCTATGTAAAGATGAATAATCTTTACTATGATCTTTTAAAGTTTCCATATTTATAAACCTTTGTCCAATATTAGTCATGTGTTAAATATTTCATTCTATACCACCTGCAAGCATAACATATTGTCTATACTTAAAAAATAAAAACTGACATACAATATAGGCTCTATGTACTTAATATTAGACAGATATTCCCAGGTACTATAGACACATAGAAATATTCAATTCTCACTTGTCTTCCCAATGACCCTACAGGAAACAGTTGATTTTGCTGATATGTATAGGAATTAAGAAAAATTACATCATTTGCTCAAAGTATTCCTTTGTGTACACCACAAATGTAGGTATAACAGAGACTATACTTATCTATGTATATTTCCCTATATAAAGATGAATAATCTCCACAATGATCTTTTAAAGTTTCCATATTTATACACCTTTGTCCAATATTGGTTGTGTGTTAAATATTTCATTCTATACCACCTGCAAGCATAATGGCTTTCAAAGGAATATGTTTAAAAGCAGAGGATTCTAAATGTTTCTATATATCATTGAAATTTTGATTTTAGAAGGTCTATTATGTAATTAACATATGTATTATGTCATCTTATGTGTTTGTGATTTGGTAAATGCAATTAGGCAATTGTCATTACATAAAAGACAACAAAAAAGTTTAATAATCAACTATAAACCTAATATCTAAAGATCTGTTTCCTTTACTAAGTATATATGTTTTATTTGCTGGAGGTGGATTATTTTTATACAGCTTAACTGGCATATTTGGATTTATTTTGTGATTTGGTAAATGCAATTAGGCAATTGTCATTACATAAAAGACAACAAAAAAGTTTAATAATCACCTATAAACCCAATACCTAAACATCAGACCATTTTTCATTTTTGCTTCCTTTATCTATATTTATATCTGCCTGTATCTATATCCATATGCACATCAGGGGTTGCCGCCCTTGGTTTTCTTGGCATTTGGGGCTGTATAATTCTTTGTTGGGGGTCATTACCCCAATATAGTAGAATAATTAGCAGCCTCACTGGACTCTAACCATTACATGCCAGCTGTGCACCTCCTCCAGTTGTGATAACAAAAATTTTTCCAATAGTATCGAGTATTTGGGGGGAAACCATATTCCTCAGGGGAAAATCACAAATCTTTCTCTATCTCTAACTCTATCCTTATCTTACTAAGTATATATGTTTTACTTGCTGGAGGTGGATAATTTTTATACAGCTTAACTGGCATATTTGGATTTATTTACTTTATACCAATCTTGTATACTAAAAAATCACCAGATGATACTACACGACAGCTATTGACTATGCCAATGTCTCCATCCAGAATAGGTTTTCTGATAAACCTGGATGGAACAGCAAAACCTAACAGTGCTGAAAGAATTCATTCTCATGGGAATCACAGGTCGCCCTGAGCTGCAGGCCCCCTTCTTTGGGGCATTTCTTGTCATCTATGCTTTCTCAGTGGTGGGAAACTTGGGCATGATCATCCTCACCAAGGTGGACTCCAGGCTGCAGACACCCATGTACTTCTTCCTCAGACACCTGGCTTTCATTGACCTTGGTTATTCAACAGCTGTGGGACCCAAAATGTTGGTCAATTTTGTAACAAATCAAAACACTATCTCATATAATTGGTGCGCTACACAACTAGCGTTCTTCATCACGTTCATCATTAGTGAACTTTTCATTCTGTCAGCAATGGCCTATGACCGCTATGTGGCCATCTGTAACCCTCTGCTCTACACAGTCATCATGTCACCAGGAGTATGCTGGGTGCTGGTAGCAGTCCCTTATGTCTGCAGTGCCTTTCTCTCTCTGATAACCACCATAAAGATTTCTATTTCATCCTTCTGTGGCTACAATGTCATTCGTCATTTCTACTGTGGCAGCCTTCCCTTGTTAACTTTGCTGTGCTCAAGCACACGTGAAATTGAGTTGATAATACTGATCTTTTCAGAATTCAATTTGGTTTCGTCTCTTTCGATCGTCCTTGTGTCTTACGTGCTGATCCTTCTGGCCATCCTCAGGATGCACTCTGCAGAGGGTGGGCACAAGGCCTTCTCCACCTGTGGATCACACCTGATCGTAGTGGTCATACTGTACGCAACTCTGTTCTTTATGTACGTGCGGCCCAAGTCCAGTCACTTCTTCGATACTGATAAAATGGCCTGTGTTTTACACTTTGGTGATCCCTATGCTGAATCCCATGATCTATAGCTTGAGGAACAAAGAGGTCAAAGGTGCCCTGCATCGAATATGGAAAAATCTAAGCAAATTCCCTATATAAAGTTTAATATAGAATTTATGTACATTAAATTGGGTTATAGAAACTTTGTGATATATGGTGAGCCTTTAGAAAGCAGGGATGTGTAAAAGACATGAAAAGCTAGAAATGTTTTTTTGTTTGTTTTCAACTTACAGATGTTTAAGTAGTGACTGTCCTTCTGGTATCAACTTTGATTTGTCCTCATATTTCATATTTCACTGCAAGAAACCGAAGTCTGGATCGCTGTTCTCACATTGCCAAGTGCTTATGTTACAACTGAAGGGAAGTCTTTTTTTAAATGTATATTCTAATAGATAATCTATTTTAAAAGGCATTTTTGTGTCTTTAAATAAAACATTTTTTATCATATAGCAAATAGAAAATTTTAAACAATTAATGATACTAGAAAAGTCTAATATACTTAAGGAAAAACCTAATGAACACTGCATGACTTCATTACTAGAAACTGAAAAAATACCAAGTTATTGAAGAACACATGAATGTAGCAATATGTCATGTCCATTGGTTGGAAATAGCAAATGTTGTGATAAGGTCAGTCCTTCCTAAAATTTTTTATAGGTTTAATACAGTAACAATTAAAGTTCCAATAGAATTTTTGATACTCAAGTTGGTATCAAAATTTATGTAGAAATGCAAAAGGTCTAGAGTAACCAGGGCAATAGTTTAGAATAAGGAAGAATAGAACATATTTTCAATTATAGACATCAATACCTTTAATAAAGCTATCTTATTCTTTTAAATGTGTGTCATTAATGCAACTATAGACAGAGACCAATAAAATGAAATACAGCGCAACAATGGACTCACATGTGTAATGTCACTTGCTTTAAACAAAAGCTCCACTGCGGTCTAATGAGTAAAAAGAGGGTTTCTTAGTAAACTGACCTATTTCAACTAGTTTTCCTATGTAAAACATGAACCTTAGTCATTTCCTTGCATCATACGTTAAAATTAATTGAGATATATTATGAATGTAAATACGAAAGCCAAAAACCACAAAGTTTCTTGAAAAAAGTAAAATAATATTTTCTTTATTTGGGATAGGCAAAGATTTCTTAAAGAGGGTACAAAAATTTATAAGACTAAAAAACTGATAAACAGAACTCCATCCAAAATATAAACATGTATTTATCAAAATACACCACAAGAGAGATCGAAGAAAATCCTGAGAGAACACATTTGAAACACATATACTTTTCAAAGTACTGCTATAAGTAATTTGTAAAAACAAAACAACAACAAATTGCCTAACTCCTAAAATCAGTATGATTCAGACAGTCCACGTATTAGGGGAAAGAAAGGGGCAGGGGCAAGACACCTGAAGAAACACTTCCCCCAAAAAAGATATCAAAACAGCCACAAAGTACATAAACGTGTTCAAAATATCATTAATCATTAGATACCTGCCAGTTAAGGCTACACTGAGATATCACTACACACCTAGCAGAATGGCCAAAATTGAGAAGTTTGTTTGAACAATTCAAAATGTTGTAAGAATGTGGAGAAAGTAAAATTATTTTGCTTGTCTGAGAGGATGTACATTGTTATAAAAACTTTGAAAAAATAAGGGCAGTAATTTACCACGTCCAGCGTGGCCCTGGAAAATAAACCTGAGTGGGAACAGTGAAAGATGAAGAAAAGAAAGACAGAAAGCTGGGATCAGGAGGTCCCTGCCCACTGACTGTGAACAATGGCCCAGTTTAACTTTTGCAAGCTGCCTTCATACAGGGACATACAATTGCTGCTGTCATAAGCAGTTTCTCTAAAGCATAGTAACACTGTTTCTTCTGTTTCTCCAAGACTACATTTTCTCATGGCCTTCAGCTTACTTATCTGTCTGTGGCTACATTTGTATTATCTTGCTCTCAGGAGGAATTTGTGGAGGCGAAGTAACCCCGTGGTTGCTTTCGCAGTTTGCAAGGACCTCGTCAGTTTACAAACTGCTCTCCACAGTAATTACTAAATTTGAGTATGTGGATTCTTTATGATGCACCAATTCCACTCCTGAGTAATTATGTCCACTGGAGGGTAAAGAAAGAATGTTTTTGGCAGATGTGGTCACCATAGATGTTAAATGCTTATAAAGGGCAGAATAGGTAAATATATTATGGCATGTTTATAAAATATATCCACACAACCATGCAAGGAGAATAAAGAAGAGGAGAAGGAAGAGAAAAATGAGTGAATATAATATTAAATTAAAAACACCAGATTTTCCAAAAATTATACCGCTGTTTAAAACAGATATAGATGACATTGAGCTGTAAGTATATGGGCACTTTTTATGTTATACATTTTGTTTAGAATGTATGATACACTAAAAAAAACACTGCATGTAAGCAAGAATGCAAGGTCCATTTCACAATTGAAAAACAATTACATAAATTAAATAATTAGCATTGTTATTAGTTAAAATAAAGTAGGTTTGTGATAAAATTCAATGCCAACAATGTAATAAATTGTCTAGCAGAGCAGAACAAAAGAAAACAATGTTATAAATAAATAATATGTATAAAAATCCTACATATGGGTATGAATAGGTTGAGCACAGAGGATTTTTAGGGCAATGAAAATATTCTGTATGATGTAATGATATAA